TGATAGAAAGTAAGGTTTAATTTGTGATATTCAATATATAAGAAAACATCATTCTCCTTGTCAAGAAATTATAGTGAATGAATAAAATGAATTAGTTCAAATTATATTGTGCCAAATAGGAGCATACATATTCTTTACCCTTTGGTCCAGACATAAAGAACATTGATTAATCTTATGCTTGTTTACTGAATCTGCGGCTAGGTTGGGAGGACTCTGACTCTCATTTAGGAGCTCCCACGTTCCCTTCACCTGAGGGCTAACATCTACACTTCAACACACAAACGAGAGTATCGAATTGGGGATTTTAGTCTGTCACTCTAAAATCTCCAATTCTACGCTCGATAATAATATTTTCCTATTTATTTGCACCCAACTTCCAAGGGCTTTGACCTCCCTGAATCTTAGATGTAATCTTCACTTTAGTTGTAAAACTCAACATATTTTAACAAATCAATTGACCAGATTGAAAGTAAATTAAGATCGAAGTGAAAAGATCATCACAATTTCTTAAATATTTTCATGGCTTCGCCAATTCAAATCATCATTTAACAAATCTCGAGACGAAGAGAAATATAGAGAAAATTACTCAGAACTCGTGGGGAAAACACAATAAAACTCGGAATTCATATATAAAATCAAAGTCATACAAATTACAAAAAGTAAATAACTTATCTCTAAATTCTCCTCAAGAACACTCCTCAAAGTTCCTTTGAATCTCTTCCTTTCTTTACAACACACAGAATTCCTCTTCGAAGTAGTAAGGAGGAAGAAATCTCTCACTTTCCCTCCACTCTTACAATTTCTCAAAGAATTCCTCACAATTTTTACACTATAATGGAACCTTTCTAACCTCCAGGAACTCTAGAGCTCTTCCAGACTCCTCTAGACTTTCTTATTTTTGGCCAAAATCTTCTCTGTAAGGATGTGGATGAGTTTTCCTAAGAGTTGCTTAAGCACCCCTCCAAAATTTGACTTTATTCAATGCACAATCACACAGAACTGTCGATCTCCCCGTCAGCGGCCTTCTTGAGAACTTTGTCCTGTAGCCTCGGGAAAAACTAGCCATTGGCAGGGTCAAGGGCGCCGTCGGCGGCCTAGTTAAAATCTTCACATTTTTGTGCTCCAAATTCGCTCTTTTTTATCTTTTTTATATCTTTTTGCTCCAATGACCCTAATTTATCATTCCTCCAACAAAACATCAAAAATATCTTTATTTAAAGTGCAATATCATTAAAAACAGTATAAAATAGGTATGAGAATCTGAACATATTTTTCTTTGGTCAACTCCTTCATTCCGCTTACTCAGTCTTCAAAAGATTAGCTTAGGATGCCTTCGCCAGCTAGATAACATCTTTCATGGAGAGAAAAAAATAGATTCTGGACGACAACTCTGGCTCCGTGATTGTCCTCTGAAGTGGTGGGTTCTAGAACAGGATGCTCCGTTGTTACAAGCATTGCATTTGTTGATCATTTAACCAAGTTTTATAAGTTCTTCTATAATGGGACTATCTTTACCAAAGTCAACTCCAAAATTTTGCGTGATCATGAATTCACGACGGTAGAGTGTTATATTAATTTCTTAATTTTGTACGAAGATCTGACACACACAGAGGTAAAAATAAATTGATAGAAAAGACAATAGTAGTTTTTGCATTAAAAACCCCAAGGGGAAAAAAATCATAGGATTTGACCTAGTTGAAACAAGTCTACTATACCAATATAGGTGCAACACTTAACCAACCCATGAATAATTGGAAATAATATAAAAAAGTGGGAAACGAATTTCGTCAGAGAAGTGACAGAAAATGCTGAGAAAGTAGGGGTGACCCGACTGCTGTAAAAAAAAAAAAAATTGATGATAGAGGGTGAGTGTTATAAAGTCTAATGCTTGTGTTGACGTTAGCAGTAGTGACGATGATGGCCGAGTAACAGAAGTCCGGTGGGGGTGAAGATGGACGGTGGTGCTTTGACTTCAATAGTGGAGGAGATTGTGCAACAGTGGTCTGACAGTGGTGGCCATCAGACGGTGGTGATCCAGTGATGGCGATAGCTGCTTGATCATTGTTGGGCCAGACGATGTTTGTCGGACAATGCTGGTTTGACAGTGGCAGCGACTCGACGGCAGTTTTCAAACATTTGTGGTACGACAGCGGTGGCAGCTTAACAACAATGGTCGAACAGTGGTGATAGTGGTCTCGTGTTGGCAGCAACTCTATTACGGTGGACATTTGTGGTCTGACAACGATGACAACTTAACGATGATGGTAGGGCAATGGTGGCAGTGGGCCGGTGGTGGCGGCAACTCGATGACTGTGGTCAAGCAGCAGTGGTGGCCCAACTATGACGACAACTCAACAGCAGCGCACTTGGGCAACGAATACAGTGATATTTTAGATGTTAGATTAAAGTTTTTTTTATGCATTTAAATATTAAAATTTAAACTTTAGATATGGATATATAAGAATTGTATGGCACGTATATAAGTTCTCAGAAACGGTATGCTCCTCTTTAATTTATAAATTGCCCCTATTTTGATCCTAAGAAAATATGCAAACCGGAACCAATAGACTCATCATACCAAATAAATCATAATGATGAATCAATAAGAAAACTAACCATATCAACTTTACAGAACATAACTGGAACACGTAACACAATTAATTATTTTCTTTTTTGGGCATTTACATCTATACCACCCAATTTATACGAATTTATACATCTAATACCTAAACTTCAACTTTTACACCACCCAAATCATTCACATCACCAAAAAATATCATTATTTTAACTCTTATAAAGTGAAATACACTTTGTAGGTAAGATAGCAAATATGTAAAAATTAAATTTTAGGTGCTAGAAATGTAAAAACATAAAAATTAAGTGGTATGTATGTAAATCTTTCCTTTATTATTTGTCCACCCGTGCACCTTAATCTTGGATTTACGTCTGATTTTCTACCATTGCTAACATTAAATGAATAGGTTGAAGAAGTCTGCAATTACTTAACGAAGTATACATAATTTATTGAATCAATCTTTAACCATCAACAATAATACAACCAATAAAAATTAAAACAAATTAAACATAAAATTACACATTAACCAACGTATACAAACAATTTTCATCTCCAACACCAACACCTCAAGTCTGTTATTTTTGTATAATTAAAATGAAAATTAGAACGTAAAACTGGTACGTCTTATTAGAACAATTAAGTGTCTTTATTGTTGTTTTAGAGGGGACCGAATCAGTCCATGCATGAAGTTGGGTATATATTTCAACATGGAGGCATGTATGATGGCGGAGGCAGCAGTTTCTGATTCGCTCCTGGGCCATTTTTAACTATTAATACAGTGTCCATTCCCCAGCTGTTATGCTGATCTAAATGGCAGTGAATGAACCAAACTCCTGAGGCAAAAGACAACCAAATCAGTTATAACATGTATATAGCATGCAGAATAAATAAATAAATGAACATTTATTTTATATATATCATTATTTTGAAATATAGTTTTTTTGGTAAACATGGATTACATTATATATATATATGTAAATTTTTTAAAATTTTAATTACACATCTTTATTCAAAATCTCTCTCTATTTTATAAACTGACTTGCCCACCCCTCATGTGCTGCGTTTTCAGATGAGTTTGTTGGGCATCTGCTTGTACTTGTAAGTCTCCTATGGTCTGGGATTCGATTCCCCCCGAGTGTTGTGTGTGGTGCTCAAATTCTTAGGCGCACGAGGGATGACCATTCTTTTAAATTAATGAATTTTTTTTTTCTTAATTCTTTTTGGCATTTACATATATGGCAAAATTTTTTTATGATTTACATATCTCACACCTAAACTTCATATTTACACATATAATGTACACTTAACTCTTTAAATGACCACTTCAAAAAAAAATAAATAAATAAATAAAATATATATATATATATATATATATATAT